TCACCGGAGCACCACCTAAGTCTTCTCCTCCTGTCCCATTTCAACCAGTGATCCTTTCCTTCCCACGGTAATCATCACTGTTGTAGGTTGCCAAGTTAAGGTGACAAATGGGTTGAAATTTGTATGTGTCAATTGTGTGAGAAGGATGCATTTCATACAAGATCTGGCAACTGGGCAACCTTGGAATTTGTGAAAGTAAAAGTGACGTGACATGTGGCCAAGTATGGTGACCCATACTTGGAATTAGTGCTCTGCATTTAACCCATCCAAAGTGCACACACACAGCAGTGAACACACACACACACCGTGAACACACACCCGGAGCAGTAGGCAGCCATTTTTTTTTTGCTGCGGCACCCGGGGAGCAGTTGGGGGTTCGGTGCCTTGCTCAAGGGCACCTCAGTCGTGGTATTGAAGGTGGGAGAGAACCCAACCTTTGGGTTACGAGTCCGACTCTCTAACCATTAGGCCATGACTTCCCCCGTGTTGACGTGATTATTCATATAATGAGGTTTGGGCCATACAATACCGGAGGCGAATGTAGCAAACATATAAAATACGCCCAGTGGGATTGTTTTTATAGAAAGATTAAAAATACGGGAAAATATTTAAACGGGATGTTAGCGGGATAGAATGGTAAAATCCAGGAGAATCCCGGGGAAAACGGGAGGGTTGACAGGTATGATAAAGTGATCATTTTTCTTACCTAAAAATGCGATCAGATGGCTGCTCTCCCATCACCAAGTCAAAGCCACGCTGGAAAATTGTGTAGGGCCATGGGCTGCAAAACAGAAATGGCAGAAAATCAAAAACAAAACAAATAATTCATGCTTATATAATACAATTATATTTTCACATGTATAATAAATATAATTTTTATATTTTCATACAGTTTTGAATTAACAATAATTAAAAACTGTACGTCACACTATAGACTCTTCATTCATTGTTAAACAGCTCCAGTCTTCACTAAAGCCACGTGACCTTTAAAATTGAATGACTTTGTGATGAAAACATAACCATCTTATAAAAGGGAGTTCCTTTGTGAACTCACATCAAACCAATTATGTTCCCAATATGAATATCACAGAAATTCCTCCAGCAGATGCTGTGACCCGACAGTAGCATCTCTGTCAGTCAGTGTCATACAGACGTGAGCGTGACTTCAAGTGTGTGTTTATCCAAAGCTCTATGTGAACTGATGGAGATTAATGCAGAGAGGCAGCTGTGGGGACAGAGGCTGTCGCTGCAGTATAAGAGAAAAGACAAGGAGCTGATGCCTCTCTAAATAAGCTGTTACTCACAGCAAAAGAGCAGTCACAGCCTGGTTAGACCACTTCATACCACAGATCACCTACTGCTGTTTAAACATCAACATTTGTCCTGCAGCATTCCCAATTCACAAGAGAACCAAAAGCAGGCGCATTCTAAGAATCCATTACACAGAAAGGTTCAAAATATTAAAATAATAAAATTAAATAAAATTATTTCAGTCAGTTAAGTCAGTTTCCTTACAACATCTACATTTTTTGTCAGTACCACACAGCAAGTCATGGGACCAGTTCTATAAAGATAGCCACTATATTAAGACTGTGAACCAGTTTGACCAACTAGCAGTTAACCAAGTGTAATCAGTAGAGCCCGACCGATATGAGTTTTTTGGGGGCCGATGCCGATACCGATATTAGGGAGTAAAAAAAGACCGATACCGATATATTGGCCGATATTCTTTATGTGTAGTCAATAATATAATACAGTATAGTCAAAAGTTTGGACACACTTCCCATTCGTGTGTCCAAACTTTTGACTGGTACTGCATATAGAATACAGTATATAGCCTACATAAACAGAATATATATACATAAACACATTTTTTGCAATGATAACTCAAATGTGGTGATCAAACACTTATAATGATGTGACAAACATAGGCCTATGTAATGGAGGCAGGGTATTTAACAATTTAACAATAAACTTTATTATTCAAAGTGAGTCTGACATCAGAGCACTTAACAGTAAACTTCACTTCACTTATTATAAATAACTTGAATAACACAAATAGAACAATATATATATAACTTGAATTAAGAAGTTAAACAAGGTAACTGTGTAGGGCAAGCAAGCTACTGCCTAACCAACAGGGGCAGGTTTATGCAGGAAGCACAGCTTTTCCAAATTAATTATCTAAAATTAATAAATAATAATAATGAATAATATTTTTTTCACAAACTCTGTGTTATGTATTTTCTGGTAATCCAATGAACATGCAGGACATTCGTATTTAAATCGTCTTTTTGCAGTTTAATATTCACAGACACAGTCTATATATATATATGTACTGACCTGTTTTTTATTTATTCATCAAAAATAAGACAAATTCCATGAAATTCCGCATTACAGAGTAAATTCCATTTTTATGACTTGATTCCGCGATTCCGCCCATGTTTTCTGCATCGCGGAAATCATAGGGCCCTACTAATGTAGCAAACGAATATGATAAGCTCATTGTGAGAGTATAAGATGAGGGCATTGATGTTTATTTACTTAGCATTGAGTCTCTCCAAGTAGGTGACAATCAAAGCGACCATTGAAAATGATTTGAACTTCTGTCAGCACGTCATAAATAGAATGAGGCATCAGTTTACTGAATCCGATGTAGACAACATAATGGGTTCTATTCTACACCAGACGCGAGCGGCGCGACATGATGTGACCGATGTGATAAGCATGAGTTCGGGGCCGCGGTGCGGCCGGTAAACACCAGTACTGAGTGGCCGCGATCAGCTCCGGTGGCCGTAACACAGACTTTAATGCGCCGCAGACGCGTGCCATGAAGCGCAGATCAGCTCTAGTCTCTAACGTCACTGAATCTGCTGTTAACATGAACCATCCATTCATCATATCATCATGCAAAACAAAGAATTTGAATCATTGTAATGTGACGATCAAATATAGGTGCGGGTGGGTGGCGGGCGGATAATTTGAAGCAGCGGACTCGGGTGAAGTTTGAGCTCATCGCGCATCTCTACACTAGACTGACCTGGGTCCAGTAGCAAACAATGGAGTGTGCTCTGCTGGACAAACTAAGTAATTACACCATTCAGAAGCATTTCATCTGTGTTATATGTTCTGTAAAAAAAAAAATTCATATCGGCGGCATATTCGCCGATACCGATATATCGGCGACAGGCTCATATCGGCCGCTAATATCGGCTAAACAATATATCGGTCGGGCTCTAGTAATCAGTCTTACTTTTCTGATTCAAATAGACCAATCTACCTCTAAGGGTAACTAAAATGTTATGACCGGTCTTGCAGGGAAAAAAAATAGATGACTAAGCATTTAAGACTAGTCGAAGCGGTTTATGCAACTGGTCAATAGTTTCAGACAACCTTGAATAAATGCATAAGTCATATTAACTAGATTTATGCAACATGTGATGTTTGACAGTATAATTCACTTTGACTAGGTAAATGATAAGTTATCATTTTTGGGGTGAACTGTTCCATTAATATATAAAATAAAGAAAAAGTGGCTATATATGAACATTTGCAGGAAAGTGTTTAGGAAATATCTTGGCACTTTGAAACTTTAAAAAGCATTTGGCAATGGACTTTCTTTCTCCACCACTAAGTGTTAGAGTCAATTAAAAACGGTTCACACCTTCACAGCATGGCGTAAAGGGAACAAGCACATCCAGCGCTATTCCACTCCCCTAAGGCAATCTTCCTGATTGTTCCAATTTGATTTCTAATTATCGGATCCCTCTCACCTACCGTCATCACTCCCATCTCCTTCCCAATTAAAATGCCAAGGATTTCCTCACCTCCAAGTCTTAATCAAACTGCTCCAGAGCAACAGCCTCAAACCCAGATGAGCATGTGAAACTCTCCTCAGGGAGGGTCTAATTAACTTCAAACATCTTAAATACAAGTCTATCTGGGATTAGAAACTTGTGCTCCTAACATTTAAGTGTTTTGACTATATCTAGACTGCAAAGTAGCAAAACGCCCTTTTATTTTGTGCCATTCTCTAGTAGTATTTGTGCTTCATCTGTCTGTTGACTTGAGAAGCAGCAGTTTGGTTAGGCGCACTCACACTTTTACCTCAGATTAAAGATACCATCTGTTCAGATGCAGTTAATCTTATATTCAATCCTCTGATAAAATATCTGAGGGCAAAAACAAAAGTTTTGAAACAAAGAATTTCAGCAGAATTTCAAAATAGTTATTTCTCTTTGATCATTTTAACAGCAGCGCTTGGATATGAGGCACGCAAGACACATCATTTCTTACGCGTGTAACGCAATTTAAAATGCACAATACATGTATCTCACTGGTATACTGAAATGTAAATCACTGTCACACAAATCTAAAATGACCCAGAGCTTCGCTGTGCTAATCCCTTTTCCAATTCCAGAGGAAGATCATCATGCAAAAAACCTAATTAATTCAAACAAGCCAATTTAATTTCCCTACAGTGCATAACACCTGGCTGGCTATCGGCACTGGAGACATTTTTACTACAGATAAGAAGCATGGCCAACTTCAAGGTGGCAGATCCCTGTTTGTATGGTATAGTACTCACCCCTGATTTGGGCCCCATTCATTGCGAATACATAGATGCTTATGAACAGGGTCCTTCATGTAGCCATCGAAACAGAGACATTCTCCTGCAAGCAGACAAAGTACATTAAACCATCACTGATAATAAGAGAAAAACATTATTAGTATTATACAGCTGTGCTGAACAGTGATTGTCATGTGTCCCTGCAGGACGTCAGTTAGGATGGTACCAGCTTTCTGCCAAAATTATATTGTTACTACTGTAAAATCATCATAAATTACTAAGGGACTTCCTTCAAACACTGTAAATAACTTTTCAACAACAACAAAAAAAAAAGATGTGTCTAACTATGTTGTTTTTAATTAGTTTTTCTTATGTAAACGTGCTAGATAGGAGTCTCACATTTTTTCCAGCAACTAGCTGACTCCATGTCAGTTAAAGAACTGAAGAAAGACTTGTCTTTAACTTTTACAAAATGTGCCTAGAGACACTTCGGTTTTATTCCATTCTTTTGTGATCCATCTAGTTTTAATCCATCCATCCATCTAGTTTTTACATGCAGAGAAACACCTTTTATGACGCTTTTAGAATATTTCTCATTTTTATTTTTATGACAATTGTGGCTAATATTCTCTCTATAATAATTTAGTTTTATTTGATTAACAGTCACTGTAGCAGTCACTTATATGTTTTCCTAAAAAAAACAACAACAAAAAATAAATAAATAAATGCAGTTACCATTGTAATTTTTGGTGAAGGGATTTTATTGAAGCACATCCATAGAAAGTAAATAATAAAACTTATTTCCCATTTTGTTTAATTTTTAGAACATTCACAACCCCAGATATGTTTTATTAATAACTGATCATACTACATTATACTGTGTCCAGTACAATATGTGTGTGTGTGTGTGTATGGTAGACCTCTGAAATTAAAAAGCAATGTCCCTTCTCTGGGTTTGTCTGTTCTTCTTTTTGTTCCAGTTAATTTTTTCTTCCAGTTCAGTTTGATATTTTCAGGTTAGGGGCATATGGAACATAATTTACCTTACATTACCAAAAAATGTATTTATATATTTAAAAATATATAAACAAAATTATACATTATATAAATACATTTAAAAAGTCACATCAAGTTTACACATTTTCACATTGCTTCAAATATAATATTTATATTAGTAACAAGTATATCATCTTCTCTTTAGATCATTAGTCAACAAATTCTTAGTAAAGCAAGTAGGATGATAGTCACAGACCCAGAGGTGCACCTTTCATTTAACTGAGCTGACTCACAGACCATTGCGTTTTAGGCTATTTCAAGGTCATTTAGATGCAGGAACTCATGTTTTCTGAACCACTGACTTGTTTAATTTTAGTCCATTTCCACCAGTTTAACCCATTCAGACTCATGTGTGAAGCAGCTGTGAACATGACATACCGATTTTACCCCACTATGGAGTCGCATGACTTCTCCTGTACTTTGCCGTTACCCACTCGCATTGTCACCATACCCCGATCTGTAGTCTAATCGTCTCTCTGTCTCTCTTCAGGGTCAAGTGAAAATGACCTCATTGTCATGTTTACATTAATATGGCGATTCTCCAGACGTGCAGTGCTATAAATGGGTGCTGTTGTGTGTGTGTTGAAGCATATAAGCAGGCACAGCAGATTCCCTGTGTCAGCCCTCTTCAGTCGTGCTCATGGCTCAGACAAGTCTAATCACTCTGAGCTCAGCTGATCAGTCTTGTCAGGCCAAACCACAGGCATGTCGGTCATGATTTGGGTTCATGGGACTGATGAGGCTGCACCCTGAGCAGGACATGTGTGAGCAGACTGATGCAAATACAGAGGGGGCACAGAGGAAAAAACAGCATTGGCAAACATGGAAACAAATGTGTTATGAGTGGGAGGACAATATATGGAAAAGGCTAAGGAAAATATTTGCTGACATTGTGCACAGCAGCAGTCATCAATACACTTGGACAATGTCAGTGATTATGTTGACTTCTCACGTCATACACCCAGAGCTCTGCTAATGCAATATAAGTGACCTTAAATTCTGCATTATGCAGACTAATATTGGATTTGCAACACTGATGCTCTGACTAACAAGAGAAAAATTGATTCTTGGGCAACTGTATGGTGCAAAAGGTGCAAATTGGAGAGAAAGCCAACTAATTTTTTTTTAAAGACATTAAAAGGAATTCTACAAAACTAAATACATCAATTATGAGATAAATATACAGTTGATGTTGCTGTATTAGCAGTCAACTTTTGTCTTATCAAACTTTTGATAAATATATTAATCTAAAATACTTCCAAAAGTTTGGGTTCAGCAAGAATTTTACAGCAAAATTAATACTTTTATTCAGCAAGGATGCATCTAATTAATCAAAAGTAACTGGAAAGACATTTATAAAATGATATACAATTTTTTTTTTCTATTTCAATAAATGCTGTTCTTTTGAAATTTCTATTCATCACAGAATCCTAAAAAAATATCAGCTTCCACAAAAATATTAAGCAGCACAACTGTTTTTAACATGATAATAGAAATAAGCATATTAGAATGATTATGATATATATACTGTGTATATATATATATATATATATATATATA